GACACCAGAGGCACCAGAGGCACCAGATGATCCTTCTCAGGTTAGAGTCTGGGGTACACTGGAGGCCAGCGGAGGAGACAGATATTCACTTGTGCATGACATGAGCTCTACCTACTCGTGTTTTTTTGCCTTTGTCTTGTCTGCCCGACCTCCCCCCCCCTGAATTCCCCCTGTCGTTCCCTATCTCCCTGCTTCTCCTCCTCCACCGCCCATCTGCTTCCTGCCTCCCCCACTGCGTTCCACTTCAACCTTGTGATGCACACACCAACACACACACGGTTTTGAAGTGGCCCACAGGATGTTCCTTCCTTCAACGGCCACTTTCTCCCTCTCGTCAAACATTGAGGTGTATTTTGAGGCGCCTCAAAATACACCTGAAGTGGCCCACAGGATGTTCCTTCCTTCAACGACCACTTTCTCCCTCTCGTCAAACATCCTGTCTCCTCCTTTTCCGTCCCTCCTGGTACAATCCCCTGTCAACTTTATCTCAGGACGGGCGTTCTGCTTCCTGCCTCTGCCAGTGCGCCCCAACCTCCCACCCAGTGCACGTCATCAGCTACTTTGAGCTCTGAAATACATCCTCCGCGTTCTGAAACCATGTTCTTTCCTTTCCCATCCCCCTCTCATTCTCCCCTCGTGTCATCGTCCCCATTCCAGGGACGGGCGTTCTGCTTCCTGCGGCCTGCCTCTGCCAGTGCGCCCCAACCCCCCAATGCACATCAGCGGCTACTTTGAGCTCTCCTCCTAACATCCCTGGCCCCCCGTTCCCATTCCTGCCACCCCCCCATCCCAGGGCCGGGCCTTCTGCTTCCTGCCTCTGCCAGTGCGCCCCAACCTCCCAGTGCATATCAACGGATACTTTGAGCTCTCCTCTAATCGCCGAGACATCTGGTTCGGCGAGGATATGGACAGAGCAGGCCGCCTCCGCTCCAAGTGGAATGCCGCCCTGCTGCAGCTCGTTGCTGCCCCGGCGTACCTCGATCTGATTCTCGAAGCCGCCCGGCGAATCGGGCCGCGGGCGGAGTATTTTGGACTGTTTCCCGCGGGCCCCACCTCGGAGCCCTGGCTTGGGATGGTCGGGCAGCTGTTTAAAAGTTTTGCAAAGCTGCCCGTTTTGTATTCAAGAGGCCCTCAGGAGTTGCTAGCTGGGGTTGGGGCAAGTGGAGCTGGTGCTGTTGCTGGTAGTGCCGCTTCGAGGGTGAGGGTAGGAGGATCAAAGGGCGAAGCAGCTTATAAAGGGGATGGAAGCTGGGTATCTCCTGCCACTGCTGTGTTCAGCGACGAGGAATTCCGCGATCCAGATGGCTTGGAGCTAGCTCTGGTTCGGGAGGGCCTGCCGATCGTCCGGGTCTCGCCGAACCTCCGGGAGATGCTCTTCCGGTGGTCCGTTTCCGAGCCTAAAATCACCGTGCCTAGCGTGGTCCGGACGAGGCTGAGAGCGCCAGGTGTCCACAAGGGATTGGAGAACAGGGAGGATGCGTTACTGCTGTTGGAGTATTGTCTAGGAGATGTGATAGATGATGAAGCAGCAGGGGAGTTGGATGGGCTTTTGTTGGTTCCTCTGGCAAATCAGAGCCTGGGGAGGTTTGAGAGGGTGGGGGCGGTTGGGAGAGAGATAGTAGTGGCTGCGTGGGAGAGAGGAGGGGAGGGGGAGAGAGGAGCAGGAGGAGGAGGCGAGGGAGGGGAGAGGTGGAAGGGGAGGAGGAGTGTGGAGTATGAGCTGCTAAAGGACAGGGCGGGAGGGAGAGTAGTGGACCTAGTGGGTGTGAGAGAGGATGTGTATGAGCGTCTGAGAAACATCGCACTCTCTCCCTCCGCAGGAAATCTCTCCCCACTCACTCCCTCACTCCTACTCCGCCTGCTCCAGTCCCTGCTCCCCCCCGACTGGTTTGGGCAGGACGAGGTCCCCTGGTTCTGCAGCGTCTCCGAACCTGCTGGTTCGGGAAAGCGCGCGCTTGCAGTGGCTGTGGCGCCGCCGACCGTGCGGTGGGTCGGGCTTCTTTGGCAGTATCTGGCTGCCAGCTGTAAGGATCTGACGGCGTTTTCCGGTTGGCCGCTGCTGCCGACGAAACAAAAGACACTTTGTGCACTGGAAAAGGGGCGGTCTAGGGTGATTCTGGTAGAGGAGGGGGAGGAGGTGGAAGTGGGGAAGCGGGAGGAGGGGAAGGAAGAGAGCAAGGGGAAGGGACGGATTTTGTCTGCAGCTAGCGGGTTCAGTGCAATTTCTGATTTGCTGGTGAGGCTGGGCTGCCGTATTCTCTGGAGGAAACTTCCCTCTGGTGTGGAGGAGGAGAGGGGGGAAGTGGAGGGGGGGGGGGGGAACTGAGAAGGGGGAAGCTTTGCAGGTGGCGCATCCGCTTCTGCACGAGTTTGTGCGGCCAGCCACAGGCGCAGGTGTGCTGGATGCACTGCAGTCAGCAGCAGACTGGCATGGAGTGCCCTTTGCCATGCTCTTCCAAATGGCTGAGGTGGCTCTCGATAAGAGCTCCTCCGCTGGTGCTCCTGGTGCTGCTGGTGTGGCTGCCCCAGCTGGTAGGACAGCTTCGGGTGGCTTGCTGTCCGAGGCTGCGGTCGAGGCTCGGCGGCAGCTTCGGGAGTTCCTGTGCTCGCCGCAGTGGTACGCCGGCAATGCAATGACGGAGGCTCGGCGCGTGCGGATCTTCAAGTCTCTGCCCATCTTTGAGGTTTACAGTAACCACCCTTCCACCCCCACCAGTAGCAGCGGCAGCAGCACCACCACCACCACCGGCACCACCAGCAGCAGCAACACCAGCACAACCAGTGGCACCACCGGTACCAGCAGGATCAGCAGCAGCAGCGGTGGAAGCACCACCAGCAGCACCACCGCTACCCCCATCCTCTCCTCCCTTCCTCTCTTTGTTGACCTGTCATCCCCTTCCATTCAGCGCTATCTCGCTCCTTCAGGGGTGGAACCAGCCCTGTTAGGCGAGTCTTTCCTCTGCCCCTCAGACGACCGCGAGGCAGCAGTGCTCTCTCGCGCCCTTGCCATTCCCACGCTCCCCCGCCCGGCTTTCTTCAAGATGCAGGTGCTCGCTAGGGTCCAAACGCTGCCGCCCGGGCTGCGGAACAGGACGATGCTTGCTGTGCTGCAGGAGCTGCCACAGCTGTGCATTGTTGACCCGGGGTTGCGGGATGTGGTGGCGAATTTGGCGTTTGTGCCTGCGTGGGATGGGAAGGGGGATGGGCGGCAACAGAAGTTGCAGCAGCAGGAGGAGTTGCAGGGAGGGGAAGTAGCAGGAGCGCCAGCAGCAGGAGCAGCAGGAGCAGCAGGAGGGGCAGGAGCAGCAGGAGGGGCAGGGGCGGCAGGTGCAGCTGAAACGGATACAGACGTCCAAAATGAGACTCTTTGCCGCCCTGTGGATCTGTACGATTCTCGCAACCCAGAGCTCTGCCACCTGCTGCAAGGAATGGCCGGCAACTGGTTCCCTGCCGCCCCGTTTTCGTCCTCTTCTGCCCTTGAGATGCTACTCAGCGTCGGTCTCCGCAGTGCGGTTACCACCGAAACCATTCTCAGCTGTGCGCGCGCTGTGGAGAGCGTTGCCGCTACAGATGCGGCTGTAGCGCGGGAGCGCGGGCGGGTTCTTTTGTCCTATCTGGACATGAACGCGGCAAGATGGGTGCCTGTGGCGCAAGGGGGAAGCGCAGGGGCGGGGGGAGTGGGGGGGAGAAGGGGTATGGGGGGCGGAGGCGGGGGAGGGGCCGGAGGGGGAGGAGCAGGTGCGGGTATGTTTGCGCGTGTATCGAGCCTGTTTCAGAGCAGTGAAGCAGCAGAGGAGGCTCAGCGCGCTGCAGCTGAAATGGCCTCCTTTTGGAGCGAACTGACGTCGATCTCCTGGTGCCCTGTGCTCGTTCGCTCCCCTGCCCCGCCCTTCCTGCCATGGCCCAGTGGCGGGGACGCGAATGCAAGTAGCGAGGAAGAAGTACCAGGGGGAACGGGAGGTAAAGGGAGGGATAGAGAGAGAGCAGATGAGTCTCGTCCTAGCCCCGTCGCTCCTCCTCGTATCGTCCGCCCACAGATCGACACCTGGCTTGCGTCAGCCAGCCTCCGGATCCTGGATGGCGAGTGCCGGTCCACGCTGATGTGGCGCCAGCTAGGATGGGCGCGGCCGCTGACGGGGAGTGTGCTGGCGGCGCAGCTGCTGGAGCTGGGGCGCGTGTGTGGCGCGGAGGTGGCGGATAGGGGTGCGGGGAAGGCCCTGGCGGGGGCGGTGCCGAGGATATACACAATGCTGTCAGACATGCTGGGGCAGGAGGAGATGGAGGTGGTCAAGGCGATTCTTGAGGTAAGCTCTTATGTGGCATGCTTTGTCTATCTATCGCTGAGGCGCCTCAAGAAGGTGAACACACAGGGGTGCGGGGAAGGCCCTGGCGGGGGCGATGCCGAGGATATACACTATGCTGTCAGACATGCTGGGGCAGGAGGAGATGGAAGTGGTTAAAGCCATTCTTGAGGTGAGCCATTCGTGGGCAAGCCCACTCCTTGTATGCCCTTGATTCAATCAAGGCGGACAGAATCGAGGGGAAGGCTGTGATTCCCCAAGTGAGTGACCTCGCTGCCTTCCAAGACCCCCTCCTCGCACTTCCCACCAACGTTTCGTCTCTCTTTGCTCTTTGGCCCCTTGCCCTTCCCTCCTCTGCCTTGAACCCTCCCCCCTTCCATTCCATCACACCCCTTTTCCCCTCCCGTTGCCTCTTTTTCCTGGGTGAAACAGGGTTGTCGGTTGGTGTGGGTGGGAGACGGCTTCTGCTCCACCACAGAGTGCGCCTTCTCTGGTCCCATCCACCTCGCTCCCTACCTGCGCATCACCCCCGCCCCGCCAACCTTGCCGCCTTCCGAGACCTCCTGCTCGCCCTGGGTGTGCGAGAGCGCCTCTCGCAAGTCTAACTTTCCACCAACCTTTCTCACTCTCACTTCTTTCTGATCTTGCCCCTCTGCCTTGCCCTCCTTTGCTCCAAACCCCCCACTCCTCCTCCCCCAGGGCTGCAGGTGGGTGTGGGTGGGAGACGGCTTCTGCTCCACCACCGAGTGTGCCTTCTCCGGTCCCATCCACCTCGCCCCCTACCTCCGCATCATCACCGCCGACCTCTCATCATCCCTTCCACTCCCTCACACCCCTTTTCCGCTCCTTTCCTCTCCTGTTCCCACAGGGTTGTCGGTGGGTGTTGGTGGGTGATGGCTTCTGGTCCACCACAGAGTGTGCATTTTCCGGCCCGATCCACCTCGCCCCCTACCTCCGTCTATGCACCTAACACCTACTGCCAATTCCCTGTTCCCCCCTTTGCTCCCCCAGGGTTGTCGGTGGGTGTGGGTGGGAGATGGCTTCTGCTCCACCACCGAATGTGCCTTTACCGGTCCCATCCACCTCGCCCCCTACCTGCGCATCATCCCCGCCGATCTAGCCGCCTTCCGAGACCTCCTGCTCGCCCTGGGGGTCCGCGAGTGCCTCTCGGGGAACGAGTACGCCGCTGTTCTCGCGAGTATCGCTAAAGACGCGCAAGGCCGCCCGCTCGCGCCGCGCCAGCTGGCGGCTGCTGTGTGGCTGGTGCAGCATCTGGCGGATCTGCAGTTTGATTCCGGGGCGGCGGGCGGGGGTGGGGGTGGCGGGGGCGGAAGTGGGGGCGGAGGAGGAGGGGGAGAGGGAGTGGGGGTTGCAAGCGGAGGGGGAGGGGGAGGGAGAGGAGGAGGGATGGTGTATGTGCCGGATGCTCAGGGCATTTTAGTGCATGCCTGTGAGCTCGTGTATAACGATGCTCCCTGGCTACCCCAATTCATGCGCTCCACTCCCCTCTCTCCTCCCTCCTCCCCTCCCTCCTCCTCTCCTTCCCCCGCTCCCTCCGCCCCTCCCACTTCCACTCCCTCCTCCTCTCACGATACCTCTGCAGCAGTCCCATGCTTCCCAAGCAGCCACCCAAGCTCAGCAGCACCGCCCGAACCAACCTTCCAGGTTCGGTTCGTCCACGCCAAGATCTCCAACGACGTGGCAGACAGGCTCGGCGTCCGATCCTTGCGCCGACAGCTCCTATTGGACAGCGGCGCAGCTTCCATGGCTCTCTCCCTCCATGCCTCCGCCTCCTCTCTCTTCTCCCCCACATCGCTAGCCGCTTCTACCGGGGCTGCTTCTAGCGGGGATGGCGTGGAGGCGTTCGGGCAGCACGAGGCTCTAACCACTCGTTTAAAGCACATAGTGGAGATGTATCCGGAGGGGCCGGGGGTGCTCTGTGAGTTGGTGCAAAATGCAGATGATGCCGGCGCGAGGGAAGCGGCGTTTCTGCTCGATCACTCCCGATTCGGCGCTTCGTCAGTGCTCAGCCCGCGAATGGCTGACTGGCAGGGCCCGTCACTGTATGCCTACAACGATGCTGTGTTCTCGGATCGGGATTTGATTGCGATTTCGCGCATCGGGCAGGATAGCAAGCTGGAGAAGCCCAGTGCTATTGGCCGCTTCGGGCTTGGCTTTAACTCGGTCTACCATTTCACCGACGTTCCGGGGTTCGTTTCCGGGCAGAATCTGGTGATTTTCGACCCGCACGCGTCGAACCTGCCCGGAATCACTCCCTCACACCCAGGCCTGAAGATCAGCTTCGTCGGCCGCGGCCTCCCGGACCAGTTCCCAGACCAGTTCCGCCCGTTCCTCCTGTTCGGGTGCGACCTGCAGTCCCCGTACCATGGCACTCTGTTCCGGTTCCCGCTTCGGTCCGAAGCTGCGGCGGGTCGGAGCGAGATAAAGCACGAGCCGTGCACTCCAGAGGACATCCGGCAGCTCTTCAAATCCTTCCAGCGTTCGGCCACAGAAGCGCTGCTGTTCCTGAGAAACGTGGGGCGGATTTCGGTTTTTGAAAGGGTGGATGCCGGGAGTGAGCCGAAGCTGCTGTTTTGCGCACAGAGAGTAGTGGCTGGTGAGGGAGGGGCGTCAGGAGGAGGAGGAAGTCCCTTTGTGGCAGCACTGCCGTCCCCAGGAACGGGACTGAGAGCCCTGGGGGATGTGGCTGATGGGGGCAGTTTGCAGCGAGCCATTTTCGATTTTGTTCGGGGCAGCCCGCAAAATCCTCTGAACAAGGACCAGTTTTACCACAAGCTGCAGCGGGCAGCTGAAGGGCAGCTTCCGAGGCAATGCGGGCGGATTTCGATTTTAGTGACTGATGGGACGGGACATGTGGCGGCTTCTGATTGGCTCGTGTCGAACGCGCTGGGCGGGGGGCGGGCAAGGGAGTGGGCTGTAGCAGTGGAGAACCGGCCGAGAGGGTTCCTGCCGTGGGCCGGCGTTGCTTGTCTTATCCAGTGGGAAGAGGAGGGGAATACCGGGCTGGTGAATCTGATGGGAGTGGGGGAAGAGTCAGAGGAAGGTGGAGACGGGAAGCAGGAGGCAGCTGGTGGTGCTGTTGTGCAAGAGGAGAAGAGTGAGTTAGGTGGAGGAACAAGAGGAACGAAACAACGGACCTCCCTGCAAGGAAGGGCCTTTTGCTTCCTGCCTCTGCCAGTGAAAACGAACCTCCCAGTGCATGTCAACGGCTACTTTGAGCTCTCCTCCAACCGCCGAGACATCTGGTTCGGCGATGACCTGGCAGGTGCAGGCAAGGTTCGGTCGGAGTGGAACCGGCGGCTCCTGGAGGACGTCGCAGCTCCGGCGTACGCTCGGATGCTTGCCGAAGCTACCAAGCAGCTTGGGCACGGGCCTGCGTACCATGCTCTCTGGCCTGGGGCGAATGTGGACTCGCGGTCTGGTTCGGGTTTGGATTCAGGTTCGGGTGTGGTCAAGAGGCAGGTTCGGGGAGAGCTAGTGGAGCCTTGGGAATCGTTGGCAAATCGGGTGTATGTGTGCGTGACTGAGCTCGATTTGGGTGTTATCTGGACAGGGGCAGCTGGGGGCAGGTGGATTCCTTCAAAACGGGCAGTTTTTGCAGACACAAACTACCCGAAAATGGAAGACCTCACAAATATTTTGGTCCGGGCAGGTCTCCCCTTGGCAGATGCTCCGTACCCAGTGGTGGAAAGATTTCGCTCGGCCTGCCCGCAGCTCCGGTTCCTGACTCCAGCACTGCTCAGAAAGACACTGATTGGCTCGGGCAGGCAAATTCTTTCGAGCTGCCCGGATGTGGGCCTGGCGCTGAACTACTGCCTCAGTGACGTGGATGTGGAAGAAGCTGCCGAGAAGCTTCCAGGCCTCCCACTCATCCCTCTGGCCAATGGCATGGTAGGCGCGTTTTCCAAGATTGACAGTGGCAGCAGCAGCAGCGGCGGCAGCAGGAGGGGTGGATTGATGACTGGTGGTGTGATGGGTGGGCATTGGAGCGCTGGAATGATGAAACAGTGGGACCCACGAGCCAAGGTCAGCAGCAGCAGCAGCAGCAGCAGCAGCAGCAGCAGCAGCAGCAGCAGCAGCAGGACAGGCTTTGGAACAGCAGGCAGCAGCAGCAGCAGCAGTATTGGCTTTGGCGGCAGCGGTGCAATGAGGCTGATCGTGACTCGGAATGAGGCGGAGTTTTCGCTGCTGCTGCCCAGTGCCGCACACCTGCTGGTGCACCGACAGCTGGCAGCAGAGCAGGGCGAGGCGTGGGGCAAGCTACAGGCCATGGCCGGGTGGTGGGAGGAGGGGGAAGGGGACGGGGAAAGGGAGGGGATGGGGGGGACGGCGGGTGGAATTGCGAGTGGTGCTGGTGCTGGAGGAGGCATGGACGTTGGGGAAGTGCTAGGGTTTCTGAACGAGACTCAGCAGGTGCAGAAGCAACAGCAGAAGCAGCAGCAGAGGCGCAGGGAAAGGGCGGGTGCAGGGGTGAATCTGGCGCTGGTGTCGGTGCCTGTGCTGGCTGAGCTCATGCCTCTGCTGCTGCCGGAGTCGTGGCACGGACTTGCGTTTGTCGCGTGGCGTGGTGGGGCAGGAGATGGGGAGAGAGGGAGAGGGGAAAGGGGAATGGGAGAAGGAGAGGGAGGGGGAGAGGGAGAGGGAGAGGGGGCAGCTGGGATGCTGATGCAGGCAGACATGGGCGCTGCTGCTGCAGCAGCAGCAGCGGCAGCAGGGGCAGAAGGAAGAGGGTTAGGACTTGAAGTGGAAGGGGTTGAGTTCTTGGAGTCAGAAGGCCCGTCCTTGGAGTGGATTCAGCAGTTCTGGAGCTACCTCTCCTCTTCCTCCTCCACCTCCTCTCCCACCACCACTGATTCTCACAGCAGCAGCACCACCACCACCACCACCTCCGCCTCCTTTCCCCCTCCTGGCAGTTCCTCCCTTCCCTCGCCCTCTCCCACTCTCCCCTGTCCACCCCATGCCAGCCTGTCGCTCATCGCTGATTGGCCGCTCGTCCCAACCACCAATGGGCAGCTGCGGCAGCTGCAGGCAGGGGGCCCGCTGCTGCGACCGGGGGGAGGGGACGGGTGGAGTGAGAGCATGCTGTCTCTCTTTGCACGCCTGGGAGTGTACGTTGTGCGCAGTGACGTGAATCTGGACCACCCGGGGCTGAGGGAGTATCTTCACGACGCCTCTGCTGCTGGGATTCTCGATGCCATTGCTGCAGCGGCGGCGAACCGTGCTGCTGCTGCAGCTTCTGCTGCCAATGCGGTTGCGTCCCGACAGGGCATGGGATCCACCAGGCGAGCAGCAGGAATGGGTCTAGGGGCAGGAGGAGGAGTAGGAGCAGGTTCATATGGGGTAGGTCTAGCTGCATCAGTTGACCTTGCAGCAGCAGCCAACCAGCCAGCGTCCTCTGCTGCTGCTGCTGCGTCTGCTGCAGCAGCTCAAGTGCCGCATCTCGATGCGCTCCTCTCGCTCTTCCAGGGAGCAACGGACGGGGAGAGGAGAGAGCTCCGCAGTATCCTGTGCCAGTCCAAGTGGTTCCCCCCAACAGATGGTCCTTCCGAATCATCTGCTGCTGCTGGTACGGTCGTTGCACATGCCTTTGGCCTGTCCAGAGGCCTCAAGCACGTTTCAGAACCTTCTCCGCCGCATCCAGGTGGCGTTCTCGCAGAGCGCCACATCAGCATGCTGCGAGCGCTGCCGATCTTCGAGTCGTACGGCACCTGGTCGCCCCCTGAAACCCGGTCAGATGCAGATGAGAAACAGCAAGGGGGTGGTGCTGGTGGTGCTGACCTTTCCGCTGGCCTCCCCGCTGGCCTCTCCGCTGGGCGTGTGTTTGTGGATCTGCTCACGGCTCCGCGCTTCTTCGCCCCGCCGTCCATCGACGAGTCGCTTCTCGACGCCTCATTCGTCCGCGTCGACTCCGACAAGGACCACCGAATCCTGCGCTGCCACCTGGCGGTCTCCCCGATTTCACGAACTGCTTTCTACCTGAACCACCTCTTCCCTCGCATCCGTGCCGCTGCTGCCGCCGCCGCTGCTGCTGCCACAGCTGCCACTCCTGGTGCTGCTGGTACTGCTAGTGGCGCTGGTGGTGCCGCAGCCGCAGCAGCAGCATCAGCAGCAGCAGCAGCAAGGGCAGGGGTGAAGGGATCAGTGGTGCCGTTGAGTGGAGAGGCGGGCACAGCAGCGATGGTGGCGGTGGTGAGGGACCTGCCGCGGCTGGCAGAGGAGGATGAGCGGGTGGTGAAGGAGCTCAGCAGGCTGCCCTTCCTGCCCACCCCCTCCGGCCTGCTGAAGCCCCCCTGCAGGTGCGTGTGTGGGTGATTTCAGGTATGTTAGGTTTGGCACAGACACCAGAGTGAGCTGAACAGGAGTGGTAAAGGCTAGGTGTCAAATAAAGCCCTCGTTGAGTGGAGAGGCGGGCAGGGCAGCGATGGTGGTGGTGGTGAGGGACCTGCCGCGGCTGGCAGAGGAGGATGAGCGGATAATGAAGGAGCTCAGCAGGCTGCCGTTCCTGCCCACCTTGTCTGGGCTACTCAAGGCCCCACGCAGGTGAGTGAGTGGGCGGCTTCAGGTATGTTCGGGTTTTGGCTGAGACACCAGAGTGAGTTGATCAGGAGTGGTAAAGGCTAGGTGGCAAATACAACCCTCGTTGGGGGCAGAGGCGGGGGTGGCAGCGATGGTGGCGGTGGTGAGGGACCTGCCGCGGCTGGAAGAGGAGGATGAGCGGGTTGTAGCGGAACTCAGCAGACTGCCCTTCCTGCCCACCCCCTCTGGCTTGCTTAAGGCGCCCTGCAGGTGAGATGACAGTGCTTGTGATTTCAGGTATGTTGATTTTGGCACAGACACCAGAGTGAGTTGAACAGGAGTGGTAAAGGCTAGGTGTCAAATCAATTATTAAACCCTTGTTGAGTGGAGAGGCGGGGGTGGCAGCGATGGTGGCGGTGGTGAGGAACCTTCCGCGGCTGGCAGAGGAGGATGAGCGGGTGGTGGAGGAACTCAGCAGACTGCCCTTCCTGCCCACCCCCTCTGGCTTGCTCAAGGTGCCCTGCAGGTATGTTTGGTTTGGGTAGACACACTCAAGGGTAAGTTCACGCCCACGTGAGGGTAGAGGCGGGCACAGTAGGGGCCTAACAAGGCTGGCGGAGGAGGACGAGCGGATTGTGGCGGAGCTCAGCCGGCTGCCCTTCCTGCCCACCCACTCCGGCCTGCTCAAGCCCCCCTGCAGTGCAGGCGAGTGTGCTGGTGATTCAGGTATGTTTTGGTTTTCGCGCAGAAACCAGGGTGAGTTGAACAGGAGTGGTAAAGGCTAGGTGTCAAATAATACATCTCATCTTTTGCAGTCTCAAGTCAGAAACCCTCGGGTGTCTGAGTCGCACCTCCTCTCTGTCTTCTCTTGGCGAGAGGTTATTTTTGAGGTTATTTTTTGAGACGTCTCAAAAATAACCTCTCTACAGAAACCCTCGGGTGTCTGAGTCGCACCTCCTCTCTGTCTTCTCTTGGCCTTGCCGCTCCCTCTTTCAACCCTCTTCTCGTCCATCTTCTCCCTGCAGTCTCAACGACCCTCAAATGGCTGGCACACGCCTTTTCCTCGCCTTCTCTCATTTCACTCTCTTCTCCTCCCTCTCCTCCCTTCCCTCCCCCACTGAAGTCTTTATGACCCGCGGGTGCCGGATCTCACGTCTCTCCTAGACGCATCTCTCTTCTTCCCAGCACCGCCCTTCTCCTCCCCCGCCCTCCTCCCCACGCTCCTCTCCCTCGGCCTCCGCACCACCATCGACCGCCGCGCCCTGCTTGCCTCTGCACGGTCAATCCAAGAGGCCTGCAGAGCAGGGGGCGAGGGACAGGGTGCAGCAGCAAGGCAGGGTGCGGCAGGAAGGGGTGGCTCTGATTTTGATCAGTCGGCTGGTCGTCGTGGTGAGATCTTGGCGCGAGCGCGTGCCTTGCTGGCGCATCTGGATGCGCGACAGGTGGCGGAAGATCAGTGGAGGAGCCTTGGCGGAGGGAGGGCAGGGGGCGAGGAGGAGGAGGAGGGTCAGGGTGGGGTTGGGAGTAGGGGCGGTAGTGGTGGTGGTGGTGGGTTTGATGATGGATTTTTGGAAGGTGGTGGTGATTGGTCGAGATTGGGTGCACTGGGCGGCTTTGCCGCCCGGGGATTCAGTGGAGAGGATGGAGATGCGGCTGTGGTGGGGAGGAAGAAGGGGAACGAGGGAGAGAGGAGTGTGGGTGCTGGTGGTGGCACTGCTACTAGTACCACTGGCAGCAGCAGCACCAGCAGCAGTGGCGGCGGTGGCAGCAGCAGTAGCAGCAGTGGCGGCCGCATTGGTGAAGTTGTGGAGGAGGATATTCCCGAGGATGCCTTCTGGGAGGAGCTGAAGGGGATCTCATGGTGCCCTGTGCTGCAGCGACCACCGGATTCCGCCCTTGCTACTCCCGGCAGTGGCGGCGGTGGTGTTGTGGTCACTGGGTCTACCTCCAGTGACCACAGCAGCACCACTGCCACTCGTGGTACCACCGGCACCACCAGCAACAGCAGAAGTACCGACAACAGAAACAGCAGCAGCGGTGGCAGCTGTGGTTCCATCCAGCCGCCCTGGAAGGGCAGTCCGTCCGGGTTCATGCCGCCCTGCGCCGTCCGGCTGCAGGACGACGTGTGGGTGGTGGGCGGCAGCATGTGCATTCTGGGCGGCGAAGTGCGGTCGGACAGCCTGGCGCGCAAGCTGGGGTGGCGGGACCCCCCGCCTGTAGAGGCGCTGGTGTCTCAGTTGCTTGCTCTGGCTGCTCTGCATGGGTGTGCTGTGGCTGAGAGGAGGGGGCGGGAGGAGAGAGGGGAGAGGAGTGTGGAAAGGAGGGAGAGGAGAGGGGAGAGGAGGGGTGGGAAGAGTGGGAAGGTGGAAGGGAGGAGAGGCAAGGCGCGTGGGTTGAGTTTGGAAGAGAAGCGAGAGAAGGATGAGATTGATGTGGAGGGTCGGAGGGACAAGGAGGGAGAGGATAAGGAAGGAAAAGGAGAGGAGGGAGAGGAGGCTGAGGAGGAAGAGAAAGAGGAGGAAGAAGAGGAGGAAGAGGATGAGGTGACAGTTCTAGAAAGCATCTTGTCGAAAGAAGTCCCGAGAATCTACGCGTATCTTGAGCAGCACATGGGCTCTCCGTCTTTTTCTGCCGCCCGGACCTCCTTCCAGTCAGTGGCCTGCATTTGGGTCGGCGACACCTTCATCGCACCTTCCTCCCTCGCCTTTGACTCGCCCGCCCACTTCCACCCCTACCTCCACGTCGTGCCGACAGAAGCCGCCCGCTTCCGCACCCTGCTGACGTCACTCGGCGTCAGGGAGACGTTCCAGGTGGGGGATTATGCGCAGGCGCTAGCCCACCTGAAAAGAGACCTGGAGTGGCGGGACCGGAGGCTCGACGGAGGCTCGGGAGAGGGCCGGGGAGCTGGTGGTACAAGAGGAGGTTCGGGAGGAGGAACAGGAGGGGAAGGAGGAGGAGGCAGAGCTGGGGTTTTATCCCCGGACCAGTTCTCATTCGTGCTTAGGGTTTTGGAGGCCATAGTGGATGCTCTACCGCCAAGTGGCGAGCCGCCATTGGCCGGCACGGTGCTGGTCCCCGAGGCTTCAGGAGGCCTGGTGGCGGCTCGGGAGTTGATTTTCAATGATGCTGCGTGGCTCGGTAAAGGTAGGCATCAGCAGTTACATGAGCGTGTCACTTTGCTAAAGCTGGAGTGGGGTGGCACTTAGTTAAGGGTGGGTTGGTATCCTTCTGGTAGTGCATGGCACATAGTGAATGTGGGTTCCCGCACGTTTGGCCAAGCACTTTCCGCACACTTTCTCACACTTCTCGTTGTCTTTCTTCTTGTAATCACTCCCCTCTTGCAGCAACCGTGGACGGGCGGAGCCGCTTTGTCCATCCTGATGTGCCCCACGCCATAGCGGAGCGCCTTGGCTCGCGCTCCCTTCGAGGGTTATCCCTGGACGGCCCCTCTGCTGCCACCTCGCTGCCTTGCCTGCCAGGTGAGTCCTGTGCTCCAACTCCTGCGCACCGGATGAATCGAGGTAGGTACTCTGTGCACAGCACACACGTGCCCCACGCTGTAGCGTAGCGCCGCCTTGGCTCGCGCTCCCTGTGAGGGCTGTCCCTGGACGGCCCCTCTGCTGCCACCGTGCGTGCCTGCCTGCCAGGTGAGTATCCCAGCGTAGAAGCACGTGATGACATGAATCCAGGTAGGTACTCTGGGCACACTTTTGAGTCGACTCAAAAGTCAGCTCTGTGCACAGGCAATGTGCCCCACGCCATAGCGGAGTGTTTTTGAGAATTCTCAAAAACACCCTGCAGCGTGATGACATGAATTCAGGTAGGTACTCTGTGCACAGGCAATGCGCTCCACCCACGCCATAGCGGAGTGCCGTGGCTCGCGGCGCGCGCTCTCTGAGGGGGCTGTTCCTGGAAGGTCCCTTTGCTCTCCCTCCTTTTCCCCTCCCCTTTCCATCCGCTTTCCTTCCTCTTTCCCTCCTCTTCCCCTCCTCTTTCCATCCACTTTCTCTCCTATTTCCCTCCCTTTTCCCCTCCTCTTCCCTGTACACCCTGCCTCCAGCGGTGGTGATATCGGAGCTGTTAGAGGGCTGGGCGGCGGACAGGACGCGACCAACCCTGCCTCCATCTGCTGCTCTTCGACTTACTAGAGGTGGCAGACGCGTGTGGCGCTCGGGGTTGAATTCTGAGGCGCCTCAAATTTCAACTAGATGCGTGTGGCGCTCGGGGAATGGAGTTCGTGTGGGACCAGTTTCTTCCTGCCTTGCCTCTTCACTTATTTCTCTCCGCTTCCCTCCTCTTCCCCGTCCGCCCATCCAGCGGTGGTGATATCTGAGCTCCTCGAAAGCTGGGCAGCAGACGCCCACCTGCTGCTCTTCGACCTGCTGGAGGTGGCAGATGCATGTGGCATCCGGGGAGTGGAGTAAAGTCGAGTGGAGTGGGGTGGATTGGGGGTGGGGCCTAATTCCAGCCTTGCATTCACTCCTCTTTCCCATGCATCCCCTCCAGCGGTGGTGATATCGGAGCTGCTAGAGGGCTGGGCGGCAGACGCTCAACTACTTCTCTTCGATCTGCTGGAGGTGGCAGATGCGTGTGGCGCCCGAGGGGTGGAGTTCGTGTGGGACCAGCGACACCACCCGGAGATCTCCCTGTTGCAGCCCAACCTGGGTACGTGCCGGTTCAGACAAGAAGTGCCTTGCTTGCCCCAGGTTGGGCTGCCTTGCTTGCCTTGTTGCAGCCCAACCTGGGTGGATGCATGTATGTGTGTGGTGCTCGCGGGCTGGAGCTTGTGTGGGACCAGCGGTGCTGGAGCTTGTGTGGGTGGGACCAGCTTCACCACGCCAAGATCTCCCTGCTGCAGGCAGCCCAACCTGGGTAAGGTTTTGGTAAGGGTTGCTTTGCTTGCCATTGGATGCATGTATGTGTGTGGTGCTCGCGGGCTGGAGCTTGTGTGGGTGGGACCAGCTTCACCACGCCAAGATCTCCCTGCTGCAGGCAGCCCAACCTGGGTAAGGTTTTGGTAAGGGTTGCTTTGCTTGCCATTGGATGCATGTATGTGTGTGGTGCTCGCGGTGTGGAGCTTGTGTGGGTGGGACCAGCTTCACCACGCCAAGATCTCCCTGCTGCAGGCAGCCCAACCTGGGTACGTGCCTGGGGTTTAAGATTCATGGGCTTTTGAAAGATGCGAGCGTGGAGTTGTTGTGGAAATATGGAGTTTGTGTGGGATGGGACCAGACAGACACTGATCATCCTTTTCCACCACCCTGAGATCTCCCTGTACCACCAGCCCAGTACCCAAGTTCACCTCGCAGCACCTGCGCACCTGCACACACTTCATCTCACCTCACCCACTCTTCCATCCCCTGCTCTCCTTGTTTCGTGGCACCCTCTCTTTCACTGAATCCGGCTGGACAATTCCAGGGGCCCTCTCTTATCATTCTCTTACATGGAGCTCAGCTCACGCTAGAGGACATTTGCCACCTGCACACGTCTCTGCTCACCTTCTCTTTCGTCCCCTGCTCTGCTCTCCTTGCCCTGTCACAACCCCTCTCTCACTCACCCCTGCAGGTCAGTACCAGGGTCCTTTCTTGTACAATTCTCTTCCACGGAGCCCAGCTCACCTCACAAGACATCTGTCACCTGCACACGCCTACTCTTCCTATCCGCGCCTCACTACACCACATCTGACTTTCCTCTATTCTTACTTCTCTTCCCCACACACACACTTTATCTCTTTCACCCCTCTGCAGTTCAGGTCCAATCCAAGGGCCTTCCCTCAGCATGCTCTTCCATGGGGCTCAGCTCACATCCGAAGACATTTGCCACCTGCACACGCCTCTGCTCACCCACTCTTTCGTCCCCTGCTCTGCTCTCCTTGCTCCGTCCCACCCCCTCTCTCGATCCCCCCTTCACAGGCCAATTCCAAGGCCCTTCACTCACCATCCTTTTCCACGGAGCCCAGCTCACATCAGAAGACATTTGCCACCTGCACACGCCTCCCCCCATCCGCCTCCGCGACGCCACGTGTCGCTACGGCACTGGTCTGCTGGGCGCATACCACCTCTCCGACCTCCCCATGATAGTCTCAGGAAGCTTCCTCTACGCCTTTGACCCCTCGGGTCACCATCTTTTCTCCGGTTCGGCTGCCGGTGGTGGTGCTGCTGCTGGCGGTGGTACTGGTGGTTTGTCTGCTGCTCGTGGCTCATCAGGGTCGCCTGGTGGATCGAGGAGGAGAGGAGGAGGGGACGATATGGCTGCTCCTGTTGCTCGAGCCTTTTCCCTCAAAGGTACCACCACTTCGATCGCGGGTGTTTTTTGTTGTTGTTTTTTTTTTTTTTTGGCCTCTGCGTGCTGTAGTGACTCCTTGATTGAATGGCTAGTCTCTCTCAGCCTCGTCATCCATCCATTCCATACGTATCATCACAGTACAGTCGGTGCTTGCCCATCTCTCATAGAATCACACTTCTCTATTGCCCACTTGTGTTGCCACCCTCGCTCGTCCAGGCTCGGGCCCCTCAAGCTTCATCAACCGTTTCCCAGACCAGTTCCGACCCCTCATCTTTCCTTCTTCCTCCTCCACCACCACCACCACCTCCTCTCACTCCTCCTCCTCCGCTTCCTCCTCCTCCTCTCTCTGGGATGAGACCACGGTGCTGCGCCTGCCTCTTCGCACTCAGCAGCAGGGAGACTCTAGTCCAATCAGGCGAGGCCACGTGGCGGGACCTTGGGATATTGTTGTGATGGCTCAGCTGCTGCAGCAGCACGGGGCGGCGTCGCTTGTCTTTCTCAACTCTGTGGAGACGGTGAGTGTGCTGCCATGGCGTGTACCTGTACAGTGACAGTGATTATACACAAAGTGGTTATGGTGCTGAAGATGGCGTAGCCAAAACGTTAGTGTGCTGGTTGCTTAGGGGTCGTCTTCTGAAATGCACTCTCCCTTTCGCTTCTCAACCGGCTCTTACAACTTCTCCCTCCCCCGGTCCGGAACGTTTCACTCTTTTGCCCGCACGCCAGGTGTCGTTCTCTGTGTGGCCGGTCGATGCTGCCCATCCGGAAGAGTTTTTCCATGCCCAGGTCAGTTTCCTGTATCCGTGAATCTGTGAATGTTTTACCGTGTTGAAAATCGCCCCTACTAATTCTGCTGCTTGCACACCCATCATCCCGAACCTGCTTGTTCCTTTGCCTGCCACTCCTTCCTCCCTCTCTCTTCAGATTCGGGCAGGCATGGGCTCCCTCCGAGCGCCCTTTCAGGACCACAAGGTGCGCAAGCAAGGCTTCCTCTCCAGCCTCTTCGCCCCTGGTGGGGGCAATAATAGCGGCAGCGGCAACAGCAGCAACAGTAGCCTTAAAGCGTTCACTCTAGACGTTCTCACCAAGTCCCAGTCCCTTGCCCCGCTGCTGGGGAGCGGTGGTGGAGAGGAGCGTGGGGGGAGTGGGGAAGGAGATGGGAGGGTGGGGAGTGGGGAGGGTGGAAGGGAAGGAGAAGGGGAGAGAAGGTTGGAAAAAGGGAAGGGGAGAGAGGAGGTGGGAGAGGAGAGGGTGACACTGCAGAAGCAGCAGCAGGAGGAGGAGGAAGGGAGGAGTGGAGAGAGGTTGGGGAAGGTTGCAGGGCAGGCGAGGGGTGGTGGAAAGAAGGCTGCTGGAATGTCTGACGTGGCGATCGATCGTTGGCTCGTGGTGCAGACGTTTGGGGCAGGGAGCTCGCTGGATATGGCACGGAGCAAGTGAGTGCAATGCTGTCATATTGCCTGTGCAGATACACTGAATATAGTGCTCTTTGACTGCCTTAAACTGGTGCAGACGTTTGGGGCGGGGAACTCCCTCCCCGGATATGGCAAGAAGCAAGTGAGTGTTGTGGTGCCATCCTGCTTCCTGTCCGGGTGCATTGAATCTAGAGTTCTTTTGGGCACCTTGAATTGGTGCAGATGTTTGGGGCAGGGAGCTCCCTGATGGCAAGAAGCAGGTGAGAGTAATGGTGTCATGCTGCTGCCTTTCCAGTCTTGGTGCATTGTAATTCAGGGATTTGCTTGCAAAGCATACCCAAAGATTTTTTCTTTGCACTTTGATCTAAAAAATGAGAATTCTGAATGCCTGGAACTGGTGCACACGTTTGGGCCTGGGAGCTCCCTGGATACAAGAAGCGAGTGCGATTGTCTAGTGCATGCCTGTGCCCATACTTACTTGCTGTCGTGGTAACCTCTCCCCAGTGCTGGCTATTCTTTTAGGCACCACTAATATGTATCTGCCTCCCTACCCCTCTCCCCTCCTTTTAATATTGCCACTCGTCCCCCCTGCCCTGCCCATCCCATCCCACAGGAGGTATCTCTCCTTCAACCTCTCACCAGTGGCCGGCCTTCGAGTTTCAAGGCACCGTTTTTATACATCACTGGTGCCTCCCGTCCCCCCATCCCATCCCACAGGAGGTACCTCTCCTTCAACCTCTCACCAGTGGCCGGTGCCGCCACCCGAATCCTTCGGAATGGTTTCTGAGTTCCCCAGGATTTTCTGGTATTCTAACTGCCTCAAATCTCTGCTTCCCCCCTCCCCCCCCCCCCCCCGCGTACCATCTCACAGGAGGTATCTCTCCTTCAACCTCTCACCAGTGGCCGGTGCCGCCACCCGAATCCTCCGCAACGGCGAAATCATCCCCTTCGCCACCACCCACTCCTTTCCTCCGCAACCAGAGGCACAACCACACCTGCCTTCAGCCAACCCCTCTCCCTCTTCTTCCTCCTCCGCTCCCTCCTCTCTCGCCGCCCTCGCTGCTCTGCGCCCGTTCCTCCCACCGTCGGTTGTTCTGGCACCGCTCCCTGTGCCTCTCAATCTGCCCTTCCCAGTGGCCCTTTTCGGCCATTTTCTCCTACTCCGCAACCCCGGCTCCCCCCGCTCCCTCTTCCTCCCTCGCCCCTCTTCTTCCCCTTCCTCTTCCGCCTCCCCCTCTCTCTCCTCCTCCGCTACTGGTTCAATGCCTGCTGCTGACGTGGCACCGGGCGCCACGTCAGCAGCCGCCACGTCACCGATGGACGCACTCATGCAGGCGTGGAACGAGGAGCTGCTGACAGGTGTGCGCGAGGCGTACATCGGCCTCCTACTGGAGATGCAGAGGATCAGGATCGGCGAATCACGGCTGGTATCGGGCATATCTGGCGTGTCAGGAGTATCTTCACTATCTGGGGGTGCGACCCAGCAGTCTCAGGGTTACAGAGGCAGTAACCGTCAGCATCAGCAGTACCACCAGCACCAGCAGCACCAACTGAGAGGAGCGTTGTTCCCAGCGGATCAGTTCTACTCCCTCTTCCCCCGCTCCTCCACTCCTGCTCGTGCGGCTCTTCCCGCAATCCCCACCTCTTCCTCTTCTCCTCACCCCACTTCCTCCACTCATCCCACTGCTTCTCATCCTCTGTCCACTCATTCTGCTTCCCCTGAGAATGAGCCGAAAGGTCAGCCAGCGGGAGGAGCCACAGGCGCAGCCACAACAGGCGATGAGCTGGCGCTGTGTGATTGGATGGTGCGGCCGATGTACGTCCGGCTGGCAGAGCTGCCCGTGTGGCAGCTCCACAGTGGGGCAGCCGTGCAAGTCAGCCAAGGAATGTTCCTCGTCCCGCCCCCTGGCTCTATAACCACCCCCTCTATAAGCAGCTCCGCTATAAGCACACCTGCCAACAGCAGCTCCGTTATAAGCACATTAAGCACATCTGCTAATAGTGGAGCGCCACCGGAGGCGGTGTGTGAGTTTCTGCGGGCGCACTACCGTGTGTTCAGCGTGCCGTGGGATCTGGTGGGTGAGCTGCATGCGGCGGGCGTGGCCACTCAGGCGCTGACACCTGGCATGCTGCGCTCGCTGCTGCGTGGGCCCAACGCTGCCACTACTTCTGTCCCCGTGACCACGCAGGTGCGTGCTCTTCTCATCGGTTTCCATACATAGGTGGGTGATTTTTTTTCTTTTTGAAAGAAACTGAATGGAGTTGAAGAAATTGGATGATAATGTCATAGATCGAAGCAAGGCGAGTGCTTATTCTCCATTCTCGTCCCCATTCTTTGGTTCACCACTCGCTGTTTTACCATGTGAAGCTTTTCTGCAAAAGCCCTGTGCTCATGCTCTTCGGTTGCTCTCTTGCAGACCAGCATGCTAATGGTGCGAATGCTGTGCCAGTTTTCACATGCTGCACACACACATTTCTGTGCGTCATTGCTTCCCTCTTTTTCTCTCCCCTTTTGATCCCTCCTTTTCATCCCTACCCTCCCCCTCCCCCCTCTCCCGCCCTGTCCTCTCCTTCCCCTCGTTTATTCCCGCAGGTTGACCTCTTGGAGTATTGCTGTGCTGACATTCAGCTGCCCGACCCAGCCTCCTATCCCGCGCCGCCACCTGCCAGCTCCTCATCCGCCAGCCAGGCTGGCAGCACTGCCACGTCAGCAGCGCCACGTGGCGCCACGGGAGCATTCAGCATGCTTCCACTGCCCAGGGAGGTGCGGGCGCTGCTGAGGGGCGGAGGAGGGGGAGGGGGAGGGGAAGGGGGAAGCAGAGGGGGAGGGGGAGGCGGAGGGGGGGCAGGGGAAAGCAGAGGTTTAGGGGTGGGAGCAGCAGAAGCGTTGCTCCGGAGGCTGGAAGGGGCGAGGATGGGGGGATTGGGAGGCGCAGCAGCAGCAAGGGGAGGGGGTGGTGGTGGTTCAGGCAGCAGTGGTTTTGGCTCTCAAGGCGGGTATGCTGGGTACAGTACTGCTGGTGGTGCTCCTGGTAGCGGCAATAGCACAGCAAGGCATGGGCATGGGCATGGGCATGGGCAGGGCTATGGGCATGGTGGGCAAGGGCAAGGGGATGGGATGCGCAGTGATGCAGATGCTCTGGCAGATCTCATGGCTCAGTTCGGCCGGTCTGTTTTTGACTTCGGGCAGAATGTTCTTGACGAGCTTGATGCTGCCCGGGCAGGTGCGACGGGCAGCGAACAAATAAACTCAGGTGGAGGAGGGAGAGGAGGAGGTGGGGGAGGAGGGGAGGGAGAGGGGAGGCCTGCACTGACAGAAGAGGAGAGGGAGCGACTAGCAGCAGAGGAGGCTTTCAGGAAAGTAGCAGAAGCCAAGGTTGCAGAAATGAAGGGTGTTCCCGTACCTACTGGCACGGTGTCCGATCCTGCATTCCGAGCCTTCCAATCCGAGCCTCAGAGGCACGGCGGGGCAGGGGGGGGTCTAGCCAGGCTCGGAAAAGACCTCCTCATTGTCGCCACCTGGGAACAGCAGCGGCTGCTCCCGAACCTAGCACACAGGTTCGTTCACCGAACCTGCCTGGCTCGGCAGCTTCTAAAAGCTCTCTTCCTCCACCCGAGGTTCTGCGAGCTGCTGACGATGCAGCCATTCACGTTGCGCCACCTGGCAGACGGGCTGGCGACAGTGTTTTCCCGGCAGCAAAGGGCAGAGGCAGAAGGAGAGATGCTGATCGTGTGGGGGCAGGGAGAGGGGGCGGACGTGTGCGGAGAGGGGGATGAGAATGAGGGGGGAGAGCAGGGAGAGAACCAAGAGCAGCAGCAACAGCAGCAGCAGCAGCAGCAGCAGCAAACGTACCTCCCAGGAACTGCCACCACAGCCATTGCCACAACCACTGGCAGCAGCAGCAGACTGCAGCAGAGGCGCCCTTGCGACTCTCCCTTGGATCCTCTCTCACCCGAGTGGCTTAGGGCCTTCTGGGCTCTGCTGAAACGCCCCTCCCTCTCTTCCGCACCCATGTCTCAAGCAAGCAGCATCAGTGGCAGTGGTGGCACTAGAGGGCAGGAGGAGTGGGTGGAGATCTTTGAATCCTGGCCGTTGATTCCCGCTGTGACACGTGGCGGCAGCGTACTGGTCAAGGTGGCGTTCCGGGCGGCGGTTTTTGTCCCTCCAGATGCTGGTGTCCCTCCTGCCGAGCTTCCTGCCGTGCCTCCTGTCGAGCCTGCAATGCCTGTGTCAGGAGTAGGGACCAGTGGGGAAGGTAGTTCAGGGGGAGGTGGTATTCGGGCCTCGGAATTTGCTGCAGTGGCAGCTGTAGGGTGGGCTGATTTTGGAGATTCAGCAGCTGCTGGCACCTCTGCTGCTTCTGATGTCTCTTCTCCTGTAGAGGGTTCTGAAGTTAGTTCAGCCAATGACAGGCTGCCACGTGGCACCGCAGCAGATCGTGCAACCCCAGTGACCACCAATCCGCATCCGCCAAAGCACCTGAGCTCCGAGGTTCGGCGGCTCCTGTGGAGGTTTGACGCACTGGAACGGGAGCACCCGTGGCTGCTCCCGGTCCTGCGGGACAGGCTCAGCATTCCGATCTTCGACCGGAGGTTCGTCGCTTGCTCCGAAGCGCTACGGTGCTGCGAGGAGGCTCGGATAGGAGGCTCGGACAACACCCAACACACCCAGCATCACCAGCAGCTGTCTCTGCAGCAGCTTGTGCTGGCTCGGCTGCTAGCGGCTCAATCCTTGGATCGGCTTCCTCCCCCTGCTGCTCTCGCTCTTGCTCTCTCCCCTCAGGACTGCGACCACTTGGTTTCCTTCTTCGCTTCGCACGTCCGCTCTCCCTCCTCCTTTCTCCAGTCCCTCGCCAGCACTATTTCCTCTTCCTCCTCCTCTCCCTCTCCCTACACCCCTCAAGAGCTCGCGCTTATCCGCTCGCTCCCTATCTTCAGAACCACTCTCGGGGATTTCACAGCCATTGACCCTGACCTGCACTGCGTCGCGCCACCTGTCACGTTCTACCAACCAAAAGATGCCACGTGTCTGCAGGACAGAGATTCTCCCGGGGAGAAGGCCCTGCTGAGCTGTCTCGGCGTGAGGGTCATCGACGAGGCGGACGTTCTCGCGAAATTTGCGCTGCCCGGATTTGACGGGCAGAGCGAGGAGGAGAGGGAGAGGGTGCTGCAATACGTGGTGCAGCACTGGCAGCAGCTGAAGCAGAAACCAGCAGTTGTGGACGCGCTGAAAGAGACAAGGTTTGTGATACCAGCGCCGCCCACCGCCGATGCTGCCTCTCTCTTCTCTCCTCCTGACTCCTTCCCTGCAATCGCTCTCTCTGTGGCCGCTGCCACCACAGCACCTCCCACCACCTCCTCCTCCTCTTCCTCTCCTTACCCTTCCCACCCTCTCGACTCTCCCCCTTCTTCAATTTCTTCTGCCCGGGTCCGCCCGTGCGATCTCCTCGACCCAGCCAATGACCTCCTCCGGCAAGTTTTCTTGTACTGCCCGGAAAGGTTCCCGGGCGGGCAGTTTGAAACTTCGCGGTGGCTGCCCGTGCTGCGGGACTGTGGCCTCCAATCCGCCTTCACTCCTGACCTCTTCCTCCAATGCGCTTCAGCCGTGGAAGCGCGGTATGTTTCCTTCCTGGAATCTTCCTCTGCTGCTGCTGCTGCAGCAGCAGCAGCTTCTAGCAATGCTACAGGCACTGCAGGCGCCGTCGCTGGTGCTGGTGGTGCCTCTGCATCGGATTCGTTTCTGCTGTTTGGGGAAGAGGACCCTTCGCAGGAAAGCGAGACAGGGGACTTTATGAGCGTGGATCTGTTTTCGGGAGGACGTACCACCGGTGGCAGCAGCAGCAGAGGTGGTCTGTCTTCTGCTGCTGGAGCAGCAACAGGAGGAGGGGGGTTGGCGGGAGGGGGGCCGGTGGTGGGGGTGGAGGAGGAGCTTTGGGTCGTGGCAGGGCGGTTGACAGAGGCTCTGCTTGCGAATGTGGCAGTGGTGTTTGGCAGCAGTGCGATGGAGTCACTGGGGCAGATCAGGTGGGTTGGTCGTTGGGAAAATCAGGTGTGTGGGTGGGTCACATCAGGTGAGCTTCTGCTGTCGCTAGGCATATCTCAAATCCTCTCTCAAATTACATGGGCCCGGTCCCCACCCCCTAGTGGTGGTGAGGGTGGAGGAGGAAATATGGTGGTGGCAGGGCGGTTGACAGAGGCCCTTCTTGCGAATGTGGCCGTGGTGTTTGGCGGCAGTGCCATGGAGTCACTGGGGCAGATCAGGCGAGTCAGTTGTCTCTAGGTGCCTTTAGAATTGGCTCATCACATCACATGGGGCCCGTCTCTCGCTCCTCACTTCCCCCACTTCTCCCCTTTCTTTCCGCGCCTCCCCCTTTCCATACCCTCCTACCCACCCCAGGTTCATCCCAGCAGAGCAGGGAATACTGAAACGGGGGACAGCGTTAGATAGGTATTGCCATTGCCTCACCAGCTACACTGCTTGACGACTTTCCTTTTCCCGACTTCCCCATTCCCATTCCCCCTGCACCCAACCACACCCCGTTTCCTCCCCCCAGGTTCATCCCAGCAGAGAGGGGAATACCGACGGGTGTGGCAGCGGTGGACCGGCAGCGCCTTGCCAGCTACGCTGCCTGCGTGGCGCCCTCCCCTTGCCTTACTTCCCCCCGTCTGTCACTTTCCCCCCTCACCCTTCACACCTCAGGTTCATCCCAGCAGAGAGCAGAATACCGACAGGCGGGGCGGCAGTGTATAGGCTGTGTTACCCTCTTCTTGCCACATGCACACGCGCACTCCCATTGTCCCGCTTCCCCCATGTCTTCCCTTTCCTTCCCCCCTTTCCCGCCTCACCCCTCACACCTCAGGTTCATCCCAGCTATGCTGTCTGCGTGGCGCCCTCTGATTCCAACTTCCTCCCTCCCGTGCCCCCATGCACCCACAACCCCCCTGTCTGACCTTCCCTTAGATTCATCCCTGCGGAGAGGGGAATACCGACAGGCGGGGCAGCAGTGGACCGGCGGTGCCTCGCCAGCTACGCTGCCTGCGTAGCGCCCTCTGATTGGCCGCTCGCGTGGACGGCAGTGCCTGTGCTGGCAAGAGAAGCCTTTGTACCGCCGCAGTTCACGTGGCTCAAGCTGGGGCTCAAATCCCCGCCGCCCCTCTCGCTCGTTCTCACACACCTCAAGGTACACTCTCTCACATTCATGGAAGGTAGTCTTGTCTCGTGTACATTTTCTCGCGTGGACGGCGGTGCCTGTGCTGACAAGGGAGGCATATGCCCCGTCCCAACCAACATTCTTTTGCCCCCCAATAATGTTGGTCAAAGCCCAACTTAACCATGTTAGTTGTTTCGGGTCAAAGAGCTGGTTTGAGGGTTTTACTGTTAGTGTTAGCCCTCAATCTCAACTTTTGTACTTTCTATATCCTAGCTTACTGTAGTTTGCACTTTGTGTTGGTTGGGTGTACACCCACATCCCAACCAACTTTGTGTTGGTTGGGTGATCACCAAGCAATCTCCAACCCACCAATTGGAGATTGCCTTGGGATTACCCTCAATCCCCTAGGGATTGCCCCCGATTCCCTTCCCATCCATACCTTGCTCATTTCGGATGTACTGCTTTGAGCTCATTACTTATGCATCGATTTAAAGCTCCAGTTCTAACATTTTCATGCAACATTCGAGTCCTCAACATTCTGTTATTATCTAAAGCCTCTCTCCGACCCACGGGTTTTTTGGGTTGACGTGGGGGGGAGAAAACCCTTCCACGTTGGCCAAAAGTGGCCAACTCCACTTGCCCTAGAACCAATTCTTCGTTGCTTTTCTTTTCCGGTCCTGCTCCTTCCCTCCTTCTACCCCCACAGGTCTTGGGTCGAGGGGGAGGAGAGGAAACTCTCGCACGCTGGCCAAACATTGTGGGAGGCAAGTCAGTGGAAGAAGCCTTTGAGCAGATATTCAAGTTCCTCGCCTCCCATTGGTCCTCCCTCGATCCCCCCAACATCCGCTCCTTAAAGCCCGTCTCGCTCATCCCCGTCGCCAACGGCACCCGCCTCGTCCCAGCCTCGGCACTCTTCGCCAGGCTCGGCCCGGACCTGGCACCGTACCTGTTCGAGCTGCCTCGGCGCTTCCTGCCGTTCTCCCAGCTACTGGTGGACCTTGGGATGCACGATTCGCCCTCGCCCTCTGCCCTCTCCTCCTTCCTCTCTGCCTTGCACCGCTCTTCCGGAGGGCAGAGGCTCAACCCGAACGAGCTACGAGCTGTTTTGAGAATCCTGAGACTCGTGTGTGAGGGAGAGGAGGAGAATGGGGGAGGTGGAGAGGGAGGAGGAGCAGCAGGAACGTTGTCTTCTCGCTCTGCAGCACTCTCTCCTCTCCTGGCTCACGCCGTGGTTCCGGATGATTCATGCCGACTCGTCCCGGCGCATTCCTGTGTCGTGGTAGACCCAGCTGCCGTTTTCCTAGCCAATGAAATCGACCCTCGTTGCCTGCGCCTCGTGCACCCGCTCCTGCCGCCGAGCCACGCGGCCAGGCTCGGCATCCCGAGCCTGTCGCAGGTGGTCGAGCAGGAGCTGGACCCGAACCTGCCGATGCAGCAGGTTGGCTCGGTGGGGGGTGTGGCTCTTAGGAGTGTTGGGGAGAGAATCAGCAGCAGAGATTTTGCTGCTGCTACTTGGTCCATCTTGCACCAATTCGCCGCCGCAGCAGCAGCATCAACTCCCTCCTCCCTCTTCTCATCCTCCTCTACCACACTCGGTTCATCACCCCACTCCTCTTCCTCTTCATCCTCCACCTCCTCCTCTCCCTTCTCTTTTCGAACAAGGGATGTTACCCCTCTCTCCTCCCGCGCCCCTCCATCCTTCTCCCCCATCCAATCGCGTGATGACACGTGGCGAGCGCTCGCACGGGCAGCGCAGGGCCTGCGATTTGTATCGGGCCTCCACACGCGATTCGTGATCCTGCCGTCCCGTAAGGTGGTGCCACGTAGGACGACACGTCAGCACCACCATCAGAATCAGCATCCTCATCCCAGCAGCAGTACCGTAACTAGTAACTCACCTTTAGGAGACTTGCATAGTGGTGTGAGGGACCCGGATATAGGGTCGGTGGGTAGTGCTGTAGCAGCAGCAGTGGCAGCAGCAGCAGCTGCTGAAGCGAGAAGAACAGACAAAGCCAGTAGCAGCAGGGAAGCTGGGGGAGGAGAAGGATCAACCACAGCACCAACAGCAACCACAGCAGCAGGAGCAGGGGCCATCCAGGGGGAGCTTTTCTTTGTGGATGGGCGGCAAGGTCTTGTCTTTATCTCAGCAGCATCTGCTACAGTAGCATCTCTCCCGCACGTCCTATCTGCCGCCCTTAGCCAATTCCTGGGCTCTCCTGTATGCTTGCCTCTTGCCGCCCTGCTTGACTGCCCGCCGAACCTCCAACCGGGCCTCCGCCGAGCCTTGGCGCTCGGTTCTCCAGCAGCCCTGGTTTCTGCCACCTCTGGCAGCTCTGGATCAGGTTCGGAAGCGGAAGGCGAAGAGGAGGGGCGTTTGGGTGCCGAACCAGCAAGCTCAGGCTCGGAAGGGCAGGCTCGGATGCCGAGCCTGTGGCAGCAGCGGGTGGCAGCAGAAAGGGGAGGCATGCCTGGGGAGGTTGTAGCAGCTGCTGACGTGGCACTGCTACAGTGCCACCCACTTAGGCCCTTCCATGCGGGAGAGGTTGTAGCGTGGAGAGAGGAGCGGGGGGGAGGAGGCGGGGGGTCGCTAGCAGGCAGATGGTTTGGGCAGGGGCAGGCCGCAGGAGGAGGAATTGGCATTGCAGCAGCAACAACTGCAGCAGCAGGAAGCGCAATCAATACTGAGCCTTTCGCATCCCTTTCCTCCTCCTCATCTCCATCTCCCGCTTCTTCCGCTTCCACGCTTCGCTATGGCCGGGTGGTGGCGGATGTGAGGGCCACAGCAGGCCAGGCGCTGTGCCGCGTGCAGGTGGAGACCTTCCCCAACGAGATGCGCCTGCTGCTCTCCTCCTCCATCCTCTCCTTTAAGTCCTCCACCTCCTCCTCCGCTTCTGCTGCAGCCGCCGCAGCAACAGGGGGAGAGGCTGCTCCTCCCGCTGCTGCTACTGCCGCCACCTCCCCAGGCTCGTCGGCTCTTCCTCCTGCTTCTCCTGTTTTGGACTCTGCCAACTCAGCAGTGGCGGCAGTGCAAGCTGGCGCCACGTCAGTGTCGTCGGTGGTCCCGCCTGGCGAGGTGGTGCGGGCTGTGAACGACATGCTGGCGGCAGCGGGGATCCCGCTGGGCGGCGGGCAGCAGCGGCTGCTGACTCAGCTGCTGACGATGCAGGAACAGGTGGCGGCGGTGGAGGCCACGCTGGCACATGAACAGGTGGGTGATCCTGATTGGCAGCTTCGTCATGACTCATAGAATTGAATTGTGCCAACCCGTTTCCCCACTTTCTTGCTTCCCTGTGTCCCCTTTCCCTACCTCCCCATTTCACTACCCCTTTCCTTGCTTCCCCTCCCCTTACACACACTGGAATGTCCTTTTTTTTCCTGCTGAATCCCTCAGGCACGAGCTGAGCAGGCAGAGAAGGAAGCGGAGTCGGCCAAGGTGACCTGGACGTGAAGCATGCACCTCATTTCCTACCCTCCTTGCTTTCCTTGCATGTCCCCTAAAATGTCCTCACAGGCACGAGCGGAGCAAGCAGAGAAGGAAGCGGAGTCGGCCAAGGCAGCCTGGACGTGCCGCATCTGCCTCGCTGCTGACGTCAGCGCAGTGCTGGTGCCATGCGGGCATGTGCTGTGCGCCAGCTGTATCGCCAGCGTGCACCGCTGCCCCTTCTGCCGCTCCCATGTGGCGCAGACAGTGCGGCTATTCAGGCCGTAGGATCCAAACAGGTCAACTATTTAGGTGGTAGGATTCTGGACAGTGTGTGGCTTTTTAGGCTGTAAGACCCAAACAGTGCGCCTGTTGAGATTGTACGGCATATTTCAAACAGAGGCCATAGGATCCAAACTTAATAGTAAAACTGTAAGTTGTGCAATATTCTGCACACGATGAAGACTTATGCATTACCGTGTGTATGTATGTTGCAACAATGGCCATGTGTAGAGGAAAATACTAAAGATGTATCAGGGGATGATAGAGTGAGGGGCTAATGGAGAACCTCTCAAGCCGCCTTATCTATGCCCCCGGACTCCATGTGACACGTGTTTCCACACGGTTGCCACCCGCGGGGCCGCTACGAGCCACACAAGGGCATGCCGGGCGGCAGATCCAGAGAGGTGCGCGCATGTTCTTGGCTCGATCCCCTCTTTGGCAGAGGACGGCAGATTGGGAAACGGCATGCAGGTTGGATATGTACAGCCCCGTACTCTCTATACCACAACCCATTCTAGCCTACAAGAACACCTGCAAATATGGCAACGTGTACTTTGACACATCCCCTAAGCCAGGTAAGGGGCAGTGCCAAGCCAAGAAGAGGAGAAACCAACTCAGGGCGGCACTACTAGCCTAACCTCTGAGGCAAAAGGCCACAAGGCCAGTCAACAAATGAAACCAGAATACAGTGTTACCTCGGATAGAAGCTCACATGTGCTTATAATGAAACACGCTTTTTCAGGGGGTGCGCTTCTACTTCAGTAAAATTTACAGGCGCATGCGCTTATATAATGACAAATATATACTTATAAATTTATAGCACCAAAATGTAGATCTCGTCCTTGTCAATTCAATTGAGTCGAATTGACATGGGGTCGTGATTGAAAATCCGGAAGTAGGATCAGCCAGGGCAGCCGGGACTGGAGCAGAAAGAGGTGTGACAGTGGTGTGGTCGCGGAAGAAGCACTAAGACGCGCCAGAGTCCAGCGTGAAGGAGAGCAACGCGTCAGCCGCAGGTACACCTGGGCTAGTAACTACACAAGCACCTACTCTAGAAGCACAAGTCTCTACACTAGCAGTCGGGCAAGGTCCTAAGCTAGGCACACGCAAATCAACAGATCCAACAGCACTAGAGTTATCAACAAAGATGACAGTATAAGCTTCATACATAGACATAGAATAAATATTGTAACCATGGCGAGACAGAGTAGGCCAGTGCGGAAGCGACGAGTCTGGCCCAAAACGCTCACGGTAGAGGTCGTCGAGGCGGCGGTAGCAGTGGGACGAGGAGTGGCCAGGGCGCAAGCAGGTAGTGCCAGCACCAGGGCCAGTCAGGAACCGGTACTGGCTGGGGCCGACACTCCTCAGACCAACCGGTCCCCACTGCCGGGAGTGCTGCTGCTGCTGCTGCCGCTGCGACTGGCCCTGCTGCTGCAGAACTCTAGTGGACGCCATGGCACAAGTCAGAGGGGCGTGGGAGCGGCAGGAGCTAGAAACAGCCGGACACGGAAACGTGGCCTGAGGGCTAGTCTAGAAACTGGTGAAGAGGGTGGCGAGCGGAGCTAGAATGCGAAGCCTAGGAACACGAGGAACAACTAGGCTAGAAGCGTAAGACTCACCCGGAGAGGTGACTGCGGCTGCCAGCCGCCGTGAGAAATGCCTATGGCAGGAGGCGTGTGGGAGAGACAGCAGGTACGTGTGCAACTGTAGCTGTCGGGTGCGGTCGAGTGCGGTCGAGTGCGGTTGAGTGTGGTTGAGTGCGGTTGAGTGCGGTTGAGTGCGGTTGAGTGCGGTTGAGAGCGGTTGAGTGCGTGAGGAGCAAGAGAGTTTGGAGCAGGAGAGGCTGGAGCTGCAGCAGCAGCAGCGGGAGCAGCAGCAGCAGCAGCAGTAGCAGGAGCAGCTACGGCAGCAGCAGCAGCAGCAGCAGCCACCTTCGTAGCAGTTGTCTCCACCTGTGAGTGGCCTTCAGGCCCTTGGCCTACCTTTCCCTCCTCCAGACCGCTCACCGTCTCCTCCTGTTTGCGGTCCTCCGTTACCTCCCCTGGACCCGTCTCCGGCTGTTTTCTCTCCTCCTCAGTCTGAGTCGCCTTCTCATGTTGCCCCGCACACTTGGGTCACTCATTGTCCTCCTCGTGCTCGTCCCTCGTCCCCAGTCACCGACCTCCGCTCTGTCCTGTTTCGTTCTAGTCCTCCTCGTTCTCCGCCTCAGTCTGTTCTCCCGTCACCTCTTGAGTCGTCCCTTACAGCCTCCGCCTCTCACCCTATCACTGACTACTACCGTGCCGCTTGTCCTGTTGTCACCCGTGTTCTCGCCTCGCTTGTCACTGACCCTCGTTCCTCTCCGTCGTCTGTCTCGGCACTTGCTGCCGCTGTCGTTGACTTTGCCGTCACCCGCCACCTTGACTACGCCACCCGAATGGTGGCTGCTCCTCCTACCTGCCCTCTGTCCGCCGGGGGTGAGTTTGCCCTTGGCTGTGACGTCTTAGAGGACAGGCAGTTTGAGGTGGAGTTCTTGGCAGCCGCTTCTCCCCATCTCTGTGCCATGCTGCTAGCCCCTGAGGGAGATCCCGACGCCCTTGACATACCGACTCCTCGCACGTACCGTGAGGCAGTGTCAGGGTAGCGGTCCTCTCAGTGGATAGCAGCCATGGACTCAGAGATGGTGTCTTGGAGATCCACAGGCACTTACGTCGACGCAGTTCCCCCGCCTGGCGAACGTAGTCGATGGCATGTGGATCTTCAAGGTGAAGCGGCCGCCGGGATCACCGCCTGTCTTCAAGGCGCGCTACGTGGCTAGGGGCTTCAGTCAGCGCGAGGGAGTTGACTTCTTCCAGACCTTTGCCCCGACCCCGAAGATGACTACTCTTCGGGTGTTACTTCACGTTGAAGCACATCGAGACTACGAGTTGCACTCCCTCGGCTTCTCCACTGCCTTTCTCCAGGGCCGCCTACACGAGGAGATCTGGCTGCGCCGTCATCCTGGCTTCACTAGCACTTTCCCTCCTGGGACCCAGTGGAGCCTGAGACGACTAGTCTACGGTCTCCGTCAGGCGCCCCATGAGTGGCACGATACGCTACGCACCACTCTTGTTGACATCGGGTTCCGTCCTTCGGCCGCTGACCCGTCGCTGTTTGTTCGCACTGGTTCCACTCCGTTCTTCGTTCTTGTCTACGTCGACGACCTGGTCTTCGCTACACCAGACAGGGTCGCTCTGGCTGAGGTTATCCGAGCTGCAGAAGATACACACGTGCACTGACCTGGGTGATCTGCGCCGCTACCTTGGCTTGCAGATCACCAGGGACAGAGCCGCTCGCACCATTACCCTCTCTCAGTCACACATGGTGCAGCAGGTCCTTCTGCGGTTTGGGTTTCAGTTCTCCACCACACAGCCCACTCCTCTTGCTGTCGACCACAGACCCACCGGGCCTTTTCCCGACGAGCCCTTTGAGTCTAGTGGTCCCTACGCAAAGCTTGTGGGCTGCCTCATGTACCTGATGGCTTGTACTCGTCCGGACCTCGATTTTCCCCTCAGCATCTTGCCTCGCTTTGTTGCGACTGGGAGGCACCGTCCTGTTCACTGAACGACAGCTGTGAGGGTGGCGAAGTACCTGGCGAATACATCAGGCATGGGGCTTGTGCTAAAAGGGACACAGCCAGTTGTGCTGACCGGTCATTGCGACTCTTCCTACGCCGACGACGTCGAGACTCAGCGGTCTACTCAGGGTTACTGCTTCAGCCTGGGCGTTGGAGCTGTGTCGTGGAGGTCTACGTGGTCGTCGTCTGTGGCACAGTCCGTGGCGCGGAGGCAGAGATCTACGCCAGTGCCATGGTTGCACAGGAGCTTCGCTGGTTGACTTTCTTGCTCGCCGACCTTGGTGAGCAGCCGAGACCTGCACCGACCTTGTTCGATGACAACAAGGCGATGATCCTTCTGTGTCGAGAGCCTCTACAGGAGAGCAGAGTGAAGCACATCGACGTGAGGTACTTTCTCCTGCGAGAGTTGCCGCGACGCGGCCAGACAAGCTTGGACTTCGTGGCCTCAGAGGCCAATACTGCAGACATCTTCACCAAGGCTCTTTCGCCTGGTGACCACCACATGTTCTGTCTGCAGTTAGGCCTTGTTGTCGCATGCCCTCGGTTGTTGTAGTCTTGTCTCTTGTTTCTTGCTCTGTTTGTCCTTGCATTTACATATACTTATGAACTCTTGTACTCGCCTTGTGGCCGCTTGCTTTTGCTCAGACTGTGTGGTGACTTCGTGATCCACCCTGAGCTTTGTATTGTCGTTTCGCTTGACTGGTCTTGTGACCATTTGTTTCCTCTGCTTGCTTTGATGCCCCTCACTTAGCCTAAGGGGGTGTGTCAAACTATATATATACAGATATATGTGTTAGGTCTGTTAGGCTGTAATGAGGTGCATGTTATAGGGTATAGGTTTTTTCTCGACAGTTGTACTTGTACCTTCTCCCTCACTAGTCAACACCATCATGCTCTCTATCCCTACTAAGTAAGTTAGTTTATAAGAACAAGGCCAGTTAACAAGTGAAACCAGAATACCGTGTTACCTTGGATAGAAGCGCAAATGTGCTTATAATAAAACACGTTTTTCCAGGTGGTGCGCTTCTAATTCAGTAGAATTTATAGGGGCACGCGCTTATATAATGACAACTATATATTTATAAAATTATAGCACCACTATGTAGATCTCGTCCTTGTCAATTCAATCGAGTCGAATTGACATGGGGTCGTGATTGAAAATCCTCCGCAAGTTTCCCTGCCAGCAAATACAGAATGTGAATCAGTAGGCACCCCTGACAGCAAATGCTGACTGGACACGCAGCCCGTGACTGAGTCGAGAATGAAGGGAGCCGAATTTGGATGCTAAGGTAGAGCTCGTTATTGTGATTTGACATATTTTCACATGTAAAAATAAAACATACGCTTTTAATCAATCACGTTTTTTTTTTAACATTTCTCTTGACTTCATCCACTACATCCTTGCAAGATGATTCAAGTCAAGGCTAAGACTAACACAATTTTCCCTTCATCGAGCGAACTCTCCGCCATGGCTCCTGGCAACAACTTAACGCCATCAATGTCAACCTTCCATGCATCAGTTTTAATATATGAGCACAGATTCGGAACCTACACAGCAGGAGCTTGCTTCCGGCACCAACACCGTGTTCATACAGAGAACATTTGGCCGTCGTCGCTTCTCCTGGAAAAAAACCGTTTCTGACTTCTTAAAGCTTTCGTATACATTTGCAAGTACTGTTTGGACTTGCACTGTAGCCAGGGAAAAATTCGCCAGAACGAAACAACTGAGCGTGGCGAGAGGTTTGGCGAAAAATTGCAGCTTTGAGGAGTTCCAAACACAGGAAACTCCCCCGTCACCCAACCTTGGAGTCAGATTTCACTAGGAACCATGATATGTGACTAACATACGCTAAGCATAGATAGAGGAACCGGGGCGCGACAAAGAACATGCGGAGCATCGACACCGCTCAGATATTCTCATGTGAGATGAGTTTAGGTAACATTATAGGCTTGTGCGAGTGGGAAAATACATCTAGCTTGCACGCCAGCTCCTTTCCACTGCTGCGCCGTTCAGCGGCAATCGGAGAGGGAAAGGCTCTGCATTCGTCGAGCGCGTCGTGCTGCATTGATGGGCCCCGTCGAAGCCCTGTCAAGGGCGCCTCGACGGGTTGCATCACCACGCTGGGTAGGTGCGATCGAGTAAGCCGATTGAAAATTACGGAGCCGACGGCGGGATCGCATCGTTCCATGCGTTGGCCACGCCGCCACTCTCAACACCCGCTCGGTAGGCATTTCCCGCTTAGCGCCTCACCCACTGCGCGGGTCTCCCGCTTACCGCCTCCAATGCTGGGAGCTCTCCCGCTTAGCGCCTCACCCTCTGCGCGCCATGCCGCTTAGCGTATCACTCGCCGCGCGCCTTTCCCGCTTAGCGCCTGACCCGCTGCGCGCCTCTCCCGCTTAGCTCCGCAACCGCTGCGCGCCTCTCCCGCGCAACGAATCACTCGCTGCGCGCCTCTCTCATTTCGCGCCTCACCCCCTGTGCGCCTTTCCCGCGTGTCGCCTCACCCTCTCCCGCTTAGCGCCGCACCCGCTGCGCGCCTTTCCCGCTTAGCGCCCGCATAGCGCCTCTCCCGCTAAGCGCATCCTCTTCTAATTACCCCCCCTCCCCCCTTCTCCCCCTCACAACCCCCCCTACTCCCTCTCCACTTGCCTCCCTTCTCCCCCTCATTTCCCCCCCTTCTCCCCCTATTTTTCCCCCCTTCTCTCCCTCATTTTCCCCCCTTCTCTCCCTCATTTTCCCCCCTTCTCCCTCTCAGTTCTAACCCTTCTCCCCCTCATTCCCCCCATTCTTCCCCTCATTTCCCAGCCTTCTCCTCCTCATTCCCCCCATTCTTCCCCCTCATTCCCCCCCTTTTCTCCCTCAACCCCCCCCCCCTTCTCGCCCTCATTTCCCCCCCTTCTCCCTCTCACTTCCCCCACTGCTCCCCCTCATTTCCCCTCCTGCTCCTTCTCACTTCCCCCACTGCTCCCCCTCATTTCCCCTCCTGCTCCTTCTCACTTCCCCCACTGCTCCCCTTCATTTCCCCCCCTTCTCCCTCTCACTTCCCCCACTGCTCCCCCTCATTTCCCCTCCTGCTCCTTCTCACTTCCCCCACTGCTCCCCCTCATTTCCCCTCCTGCTCCTTCTCACTTCCCCCACTGCTCCCCTTCATTTCCCCTCCTTCTCCTTCTCACTTCCCCCACTGCTCCCCCTCATTTCCCCTCCTGCTCCTTCTCACTTCCCCCACTGCTCCCCTTCATTTCCCCTCCTGCTCCTTCTCACTTCCCCCACTGCTCCCCCTCATTTCCCCTCCTGCTCCTTCTCACTTCCCCCACTGCTCCCCCTCATTTCCCCTCCTGCTCCTTCTCACTTCCCCCACTGCTCCCCTTCATTTCCCCTCCTTCTCCTTCTCACTTCCCCCACTGCTCCCCCTCATTTCCCCTCCTGCTCCTTCTCACTTCCCCCACTGCTCCCCTTCATTTCCCCTCCTGCTCCTTCTCACTTCCCCCACTGCTCCCCTTCATTTCCCCTCCTGCTCCTTCTCACTTCCCCCACTGCTCCCCCTCATTTCCCCTCCTGCTCCTTCTCACTTCCCCCACTGCTCCCCCTCATTTCCCCTCCTGCTCCTTCTCACTTCCCCCACTGCTCCCCTTCATTTCCCCTCCTTCTCCTTCTCACTTCCCCCACTGCTCCCCCTCATTTCCCCTCCTGCTCCTTCTCACTTCCCCCACTGCTCCCCTTCATTTCCCCTCCTGCTCCTTCTCACTTCCCCCACTGCTCCCCTTCATTTCCCCTCCTGCTCCTTCTCACTTCCCCCACTGCTCCCCCTCATTTCCCCTCCTGCTCCTTCTCACTTCCCCCACTGCTCCCCTTCATTTCCCCTCCTGCTCCTTCTCACTTCCCCCACTGCTCCCCTTCATTTCCCCTCCTGCTCCTTCTCACTTCCCCCACTGCTCCCCTTCATTTCCCCTCCTGCTCCTTCTCACTTCCCCCACTGCTCCCCCTCATTTCCCCTCCTGCTCCTTCTCACTTCCCCCACTGCTCCCCTTCATTTCCCCTCCTCCTCCCTCTCATTTCCCCCCTTACTCCTCTCATCTCCCCCCCTCCTCCCTCTCATTTCCCCCCTTGCTCCTCTCATCTCTCCCCCTCCTCCCTCTCATTTCCCCCCTTGCTCCTCTCATCTCTCCCCCTCCTCCCTCTCATTTCCCCCCTTGCTCCTCTCATCTCTCCCCCTCCTCCCTCTCATTTCCCCCCTTGCTCCTCTCATCTCTCCCCCTCCTCCCTCTCATTTCCCCCCTTGCTCCTCTCATCTCTCCCCCTCCTCCCTCTCATTTCCCCCCTTGCTCCTCTCATCTCTCCCCCTCCTCCCTCTCATTTCCCCCCTTGCTCCTCTCATCTCTCCCCCTCCTCCCTCTCATTTCCCCCTTTGCCGCCTCTCATCTCTCCCCCTCCTCCCTCTCATTTCCCCCCTTGCCGCCTCTCATCTCTCCCCCTCCTCCCTCTCATTTCCCCCCTTGCTCCTCTCATCTCTCCCCCTCCTCCCTCTCATTTCCCCCCTTGCCGCCTCTCACTTCCACCCTTGCTCACTCTCGCTTCCCCGCTTCCCTCTCATTTCCCTCCTTCACCCCTTCATTTCCCAACCTAAACCCTTATTTTCCCCACCTTGCTCCCCGTCATTTCCCCCCCTTCTCCCCTTATTTTTCCCACCTTGCTCCCCTTCATTTCCCTCCCAGCTCTGGCATAGCCCCACTGCCCTCCCGTCCTTTTCATCTTCCCTCCCTTACAGGGTGGATCCCTTGCAAAATACTGCCCCCCACTCGCTCCCTTCCATTCTCCCTTCCACGCTCTCCCATCGCCATGCCTTAATTTCTCATCCCCCCTCCTTCCAGGGTCATCTCACCTCCCATGAGATCCCACTCGCTCCTTCAGTCCCTGCCCATACTGCCGCCGCTGCTGCCTTTGCCGGAGCTGCCTCTGCTGCCACACCCAGTGTTCCTTCCTTTGGTGTTCCCCCCGGAGCAGGAGGTAGCTCAGGAAAGGAGGGGAAGGCATGGTGGAGGAGGAGGAGACATGAGGCGAGGAGCAGCCAGTGGGGAGGATTGTTCGCCCCACTCCTTTGACTATGGACTGCCGACGCCGGCTGTTGGCCCCAACCCGTGTGACTCTGCAACTGCCCCGGTTCTGACCATACTTCTGCTCCTGCGGATTGAGCTCCTACTGGACCTAGCATTTGTGGAGCAAATGTAGCAGCAGCTCCCACGAGGAGTTGGAGCTGGGATGATCTTGCAAGAACAGCGGCAGGTGCATGGGCAGCAACAGCAGAACCAAGAGCGAGTGGACCCTGCTGCGGTCTCACAGCCGAGCGCGCTCATGAGTGCGCAAGCCGCAGGAGATGCAGCATGCCGGGTCTCTCACGCTGGGTGCACACTATCGAAGCAGCCATGTCAGCAGTGGACTGGGGAGCGAGCAGGGTGTGAGGCTCGATGAGGAAGCGAGGCGGAGGGAGAGGGAGAAGGAGGAGGTAGCGAGGCTGTTGCGGCAGATGGTGCGTGCAAGCGAGCTCGACTCATCTCAAGTTTTGTCCCATCGTTCACGCCTCTCAGGTACTGTGCGCGTCCCATCGCATGCCTTGGGACTTGCCTAGACAACCGTTTTCACGCCACTTGGATGACTAAGGGCACTCTCTCCAGGCTTTGGTTGAGCTCACCCTGATATGTGCCTTCTTTTTCCCCTTCCTCGTCCCTTTCTCAGCCCTGACCCCCCCCACTCCTCTCACCGGCAGGTCCACCAAGCAGCACACAATGCATCGCTCCCCTCTGCTGCACACCAACGCCAGGCATACAACAGCAGCCGCCAACTTGTGCGGCAGCTCCCTGCGTATTTATTACTATGCACTTGTGATTCAAGAAGCATGCATACACTCCCAACTCTAGTACATTTTTGGCACTTCAGGACCAAAATCAAGCTCGTAGCCTCACAACATGTTTTATAAAAAAAGTCCTTACAATTGTATCACTATATACATAACCTTTATCACCCAACCCTGGATTCTTCGATACCAATCACGTGACTAGTCATATGCCTGTGCACGAATGCAGGGAATGGAAGGGAATGGCAGGGAATGGAAGTGTATGGAAGGGAGTGGAAGTGTATGGAAGGGAATGGAAGGGTATGGAAGGGTATGGCTGGGGTATGGAAGGGAATGGTAGGTATGGAAGGGTATGGAAGGGAATGGAAGGGTATGGAAGGGAATGGAAGGGTATGGAAGGGAATGGAAGGGTATGGAAGGGAATGGAAGGTATGGAAGGGTATGGAAGGGAATGGAAGGGTATGACAGGGGATGGATGGGTATGGCTGGGGTATGGAAGGGAATGGTACACTTACGCTAGGGAAGGAAAGGTATGGCAGAGTATGGCAAGGTATGGCAGAATGAGGGACGGGCTTGGCTGGCGTATGGAAGGGTATGGGAGGAGATGGAAGGGTGTGGCGGTGTATGGCAGCGGATGGATGAGTATGGCATGCGATCATCCAAGGGTACGGTAGGGGTTAGAAGCATATGAGAGGGAGAAGGGGGGAAAATGAAAGGAGATGGGGGGAAATGAGCGGGGGGGAAACGAGATGGAGAAGGGGGGGGGAATGAGAAGGAGCACGTGGGGAAAGGAGAGGGAGATGGGGGGAAACGAGAGGGGGAAGGGGGGGGGAATGCGGGGAAATGAGAGGGAGGTTATGTGGCATTTAACTGAGTGGTTAAGGGGGGAATGAGAAGGAGCAGGGGGGAGAATGAGAGGGATAAGGGGGGGAAATGAGAGGAAGAAGGGGGGTACATGAGCGAGAGAAGGGGGGACATAACAGTGAGCAGGGGGTAGGATGAGAGGGAGAAAGGGGGGGAATGAGGGGCTTCATGGGGGGAATGAGAGGGAGTAGGGGGAGATATAAGAGGGGGAAGGGGAAGAAATGAGAGGGAGAATGGGGGGGAATGAGCGGGAGAAGGGGGTGACATGAGAGAGAGAAGGTGGGGACATGACAGGGAGCAGGGGGGGAGATGAGAGGGAGAAAGGGGGGGATGAGGGGCTTCATGGGGGGAATGAGAGGGAGAAGGGGGGAGGAATGAGGGAGAGCATGGGGGGGAAATGAGAGTGAGCAAGGGGGAAAATGAGAGTCTGCAAGGGGGGAAATGAGAGTGCGGCTGCCGCGGCTAGTGCGGAAACGTGGTAGCGAGGCTGTGCGATCGGGCGGCGACTGTGATGTGTGTTCGGCAGTTTGAGAAGGGAGGCGAGAAGGGATAATCGGGAGTGGGAAGGGGAAGCGGGGAGGCGGGAAGGGGAATTGGGGAGGCGGGAAGGGGAAATGGGGAGTGGGAAGGGGTAATGGGGAAGCGGGAAGGGGTCACGGGGAGGAGGGAAGGGGTAGTGGGGAGCGGGAAGGGGAATTGGGGAGGCGAGAAGGGGTAATGGGGAGCGGGAAGGGGAATTGGGGAGGCGGGAAGGGGTAATGGGGAGCGGGAAGGGGAATTGGGGAGGCGGGAAAGGGTAATGGGGAGCGGGAAGGGGAAACGAGGAGGCGGGAAGGGATAATGGGGAGCGAGAAGAGGAAATGGGGTGGCGGGAAGGGGAATTGCAGAGGCAGGAAGGGGTAATGGGGAGCGGGAAGGGGAAACGAGGAGGCGCGAAGGGGTAGTGGGGAGCGGGAAGAGGAAATGGGGTGTCGGGAAGGGGAATTGGGGAGGCGGGAAGGGGAAACGGGGAGGCGGGAAGAGGTAATGGGGAGCAATCGTTTCTGATTACCCTCGCGACACCTCAATTGCGGCTGCCGCCGCTACTGCGGAAACGTGGTAGCGAGGTCGCGCGATCGGGAAGCGACTGTGATCGTGCGTGTTCGGCAGTTTGAGACGCAGCGTGCGCGTTCATGGTGGCGTGAGGAGGCCGCGTGGTGAGGCAACGCGACGGACGACGAGGCGAGGCTGTGAGAAGGGGTCCGGCGGGCTCGCCGTGTTAGAGGGCGGAACTGACGTTGGCTCGGACGTGTAATTACACTAAACTGCCCCACGCGTCTAACTTTGTGTCGGAAACGGGAGTGATTTGCGCTGGCTGTTGTCGCGATGTGCTTTGCTACGATTTATGCTGCCTGTTGAGCGTAGTGGCGTAGATCTCACATGGACTGGATTTCGTATACTTTTGTTATTCCAAAAGTTTTGAATCACCAGTGAGCCCTGGGTGACGGGGAGATCACCTCCCTTGTGAAGCGAGTGAAACTAGCTGTTTCTGGGTTACCAATATTTCAAATTTCAAAACTTTTGAACCTCCCTTTTTCAAATGTATACGAAAGCTTTAAACAACATGCAAGTTCCAGGACATCCAAGATGGCATCATAAGCTACATACAGGTTCAAGCGAAGGCTGGAAACGCAAATACAAGAAAATATTTCAACATAATGTCTTGAGAACGTCGGCCTTTGCTGCCATTCGACTACTATCAAAGGAAGAAAGTTATACACGGAATCAAGCAATGACTTCTCTGCTGCTTCAAGCTTCTCATGAAAACGTTTTTGATGCTTTATCATGCTCGTCACAACGGCTCAAGATGAAGATTTACTACGCGTATGGGTCGGAGATTGGTTTTAAGGAGACAAGGGCCTCTGTACACGCGGATCGCTGCGATCTACCTAATTTCTGCGTGGCTACTGATACAACTGAAGGCGACATTTTTTACAATACAACTATGGACGACAAGAAGGCAGGGGAGTTTAAAGTTGGAGCCATTATAACGATCAGTCGTACTAACCTGGTTGATCCTACAGCTGGGAACCCTCAAGAACCTTTCATGATGCTAGATGATAACATTTCATGGCGTCGTGCTACGATCACAGACGAGACACAGGGAACATATCAAGTAACTCAGAGGGCCATAACAGGTGGAGCAGCTGCTGCAGTTTTCTCCCTCCGCTCCCGTCAAAGGAGTGTTGGTGCTCCTCTCACATTGTGACCAACCCCTGCAAATACTGAACAAGATTGAGGCTGTAACCGCTCTACACCCATCCCTGTGCAAGATCGAGGTTGAAACCACTTTGCGCTCATTTCAACAGGCACGAAGGCAATCGACAAGGCAAAAATGTGGCGACAGGTTCCTACCAGATCTGAAACGTGTGAACTGTGTGAAGGAATTCCCAAACGGGCAAGATAAACTGTTTAGGCGCTTGATATATAAACCCATAGAAATCTGCGAGGGTACAGTAGTGCATGCTACCTAGGCCCTCTAGCTCCGGTTACGACCGACGGTGTTTTTGCGTTGTATAATGCACTTTCACCTACAAAAAAAATTCACGTTTTTTTAAGGGGTGCGCTTCTAATCGAGGACCGGCCATAAGCGCAGTGCTCTAGATATAAGCGCATCCGTTTATAATAGGCCTGCGCTTCTATCCAGGGTAACACGGGTATGAGGTACAACTTAGGGCGGTAATACTAGCCCAGCCTCTGAAACAAACGGCCACAAGGTCAGTCAATGAGTATAAATAGACAGGAACAGATCAAGATCCTAACAAGTGAGGTCCTGCTGCGACAAGGCCAAGGTGTGTGCAGAGCTGCTGAGGATCACGAGGCGAAAGTGCCTTGGTGAAGATATCAGAGGTGTTGACCCCTGAGGCCAAGCGTACTATGCGTGCCTGGCTGCGCTGCTGCAACTCACGCAACAGGAAGTACCGCAGCTGGATGTGCTTCGCTCTGCCCTCCGGTCTAGGCTCCTAACATAGGAGGATCATGGCCCTGTTATCAACGAACAGGACCAGGGCAGAGCTAGGACGTCAGTGAGCGAGAACGTTAGCCAGCGGAGCTCCTAAGTAGCCATAGCACCAGTGTAGATCTCTGTCTAACAGCTGGACTGTGCCACCGACGGCGAAGGAGTCGACCTCCACGAGACAGCTCTGGCGCCAAGACTGAAGCAATAGCCCTGAGGGGACCGGAGAGTCTCGATGTCGTCCTCCGAAGACAAACCACATGCCTGACGTACTAGCCAAATAGCGCAATACCCTCTTAGCAACTGAACAATGCTCGAGTCGGTGTCTCCCGGTCGCAACAAAACAAGTAAAAATACTAATATGATATGCAAGGTCTTGGCGAGTGCAGGTGATCAGGTACATGAGGCACTCCACCAGCACTGCGTACGGACCACTGGGCTCAACAGGCTCGTTAGGGACACAAGCCGAGAGTGTATGGCCATCAGCAAGAGGAGTGGGCTATGTGGAGGAGAACTGAAGGTTGAAGCGTTGAAGGATCTGCTCCACCATGTGTGATTGAGTCAGGGTGATGGTGTGCGCTGCTCTGTCCCTAGTGATCTGCAAGCCGATAGTAGCGCAGCTCACCTAGATCGGTACAATTGTGTCTCCTCAGCAGCTCGGCCTTCACTGAGGCCGCTGCAACTCTATCTGGAGTAGCGAAGTCCAGGTCGTCAACATAGATGGGGGGGAGGTAGGGAGCATTCGTGGAAGCGATGGCG